ACACGTACCTATTATGGGGTTTTATTATTCATTCAAAATATTTCCCCAGTTTTGATTGGCTAAAATCACACGCATAATTCCCATAACCATCTGGAAGCATTTTGTGTTTAACGAGGAAATGGCGTCAAAAAGGCAGCCCGCTACAGGTTAACGTACACTATCGAAGATGAACTTAACATCGATGCAGGTAATCATGTTTTAGCTATGTTTTTAAACTAGGAATTAGTTTTAAAGGAATAATTAAGCAATTAATGAATTCGGCTTTCGTAGGATATGAAGAATTAAGAGTCATTGTCAGAGAAAACCGGGCGGTGCCAAAAGATTGGGGTCAGCCGATTTCCTTTATTTTTTCAGCATTTAAAACCAAGCTGATAAGATTAACTTTGGTGACATTAACAAGATTTCCCGGCGTTTCACTCCCGAGATTGACCACCCCCCTAGTTTTTGGCCAAGGGAAGCCCTAAAAACCACCAAAAACAATGGCAATTTCTCGGGTCTAAAACAACTTTTCCTTAAGGAATTAGTGCACAGATTTTTTTCTGAAGCTAAATCACCTAACAATAAACGTTTTGGGTGCTTAAAATCATATTTTTAGTTTAACAGTAATTTTGGCCAAGGTTTTTAATCCGGGTATGTTGCGTGACTGGTACAGGACAACGAATTTCGGGGATTTTCGAAGTGCGTTTTCTTGTAAGTGCGGCTGTTTATTTTTTATTTAATTACAGATTTGAACAGTCTATACCCTCCTAAATCAAAAACAAAAGTTTATTGATCGGCACAAGAAACTCTATTCACGCGAATTTTGTTGGAAAATGTCAAAGATCGCTCTTACGGCTAGCTGCTCGCTGAAGTTTAAATAAAGGCAATACTGCATTATAAAGGTACTAATCCATTTTAAATGAGTATTTTATATTCCACTTAGGTTTGAATAAAGGGAAAATAACTATAAAATACTATTGCTTTAACGTAAGGGTTATACAAGACTGCCATCATGCACGCAAAGGTCTCAATTACTTGGTGCTTCGATGATTACTGTCTGGCCTATGCGAGTTAGCCAACAGGACGATGTATGTGCGGTCCTATCTAGTGATAAAATCATCACGACTTTTGTATCACATGCAACAGAAATTCTCAATTCCTGCGAGGAGATGCTACATTTTGCTGTGTGACCTGTCGTGCGAAAAGTAGCCTCTGCCGCACGACAGCTCCCACAGCGAAAATGTAGCCTCTGCTCGCAGGGTATTTGTTACATCGATCACTACTGACAAAACCCAACAATTAATTTTATAAAATGCGAAAGAAGAATACGTAGTGCAAAATTCAGCTATTTCCGACATGAGCACAACTTAGCGTAGTCATCAAGTGGTTCAGTAAAAGTACGTTTTCTTGAATTGCTACCATTTGTTTGCAGACTTAATGCTCTGTATACTTCTCTCAACTGTGCTAACTTCAGCGAACTGAGCTTTCCAGCACGCGAAAGTTCACAAACGTTTACTGCTTCTATTTTAATAGGGTGACTGATAGTTTGTTCAATCTCTCTGTAAACCTCCTGGCGTATGGCTTGAATGTGGTCTTCTGATTCAAGGGCTGTGAGGTCTTCGTTTGTTACTTCTTGTTCCTCCTCCTGGCTCTCTATTTCATCAGCTTGTCTTTGGCGCTGCAACGCTGACATCCTTGCGAAAAAGTTACTAATTTGTTGAGCGGTTCTCCATTCGTCTGGTTTGAATTGTAACTTTCCACTGCTATCTCTAATACTCTTTATCTCTCTAGCCACGTGAATTGGATCAGCCTTTTGTCCTCCCGCAACTCCTTGGTTAAATTTCTGAACAAGAAAGGCTTTTACTTTCTCTTCCGTCCTGTTGGTCCGCTTAGTTGATTTGAGCGCCCACCCTTTATTGCGGCGTTCTCTAGCACTGGAAGGCCCGGCTTCTTCAAATGCAATTCGCTGTCTATCTCCGCTAGCCACATGCATCTCTCCGACTCGGTCAGCGCACTTCTTTCGTGCCGCATCGTACACAGTCTTACAATCTAGATCTGACGCACGTACATGCTTCCCTGCGTCCATGTGAGCTTCTGCTTCCTCTCCAGTCTTGAACGTTAGCACGCATGTACTTTCACTGCATGAGAATATTTCTCCTTGTGGACTGGAAGCACGGCTAACTGAGCCAAGATTGTTGCTACGTGGACCCGACTCCTTTAGGACTTTCAATCCAGTTTCTTCCTGTGGTACAACTTCAACCTGACTGTATGATAAGAATCTGCCGGGTCCAACGCTGAATGCACGCCAAGCGCCCTGGTATCTTGTTGGCGGTGATTTCTTTATTAGTGTCCACTTTGACAACTGCCGCCCTGACTCCTTTTACTCCTCCATGCGACTCTAGTGCTGTCGTCATGTCTTCCGCAGTGATGACATTGTGTTTTTCATTGACCCATCGTCGTATGTGTGCCTTCATAGGAGCGGTCTTTCGGTCACAGATGTCTTCTCCGGACTGTGGCTCTCAAAAGTCGTAACGCAGACTTGTCATGCTAGTTCGTTGACCAATGAACGGAAGACTGAGCACAAGAGATCCACTATGGTAGCAACCTGCGTTATCGGATCTCAGAAAAACATTTTCAATCTCCGGTGATTCTTTCTTGATGGTATTTAAAAGATGCTCTATTATAGAGGCTACAGCAAGGCTGTTCTGCGTGCAGTTATCAAACAGATGGACAAAACATTCCACTTGGAATTTTTCAGTATGCTTAGTGATCACAGCACTCACATGCCAGCTTCGTCCTCGTTTTCCGAAGAAATCACTCATTCGTTCCCGATAACGTTGTGGGAGGTATTTCATGGCCCAATCCATAACGATTAAACATGAAGCTGCATCAACATGTACAAGAGCAAATTGCTTTCCTTCTTCTTGATTTACTGTGCGAAGCAAATGCGCCTTCCAGTCCTGGATAGATGCCAAACAGAGTTTGTAGTCGTGGCTTAACCGCCATCTGTGCTCCTCCGGCATCTCAACACGGTTGATCTCGGATTCAATTTCCTTCAAAACTGTCTCTAATGATTCGCATTGCTCGCAGTCAGTTTCATGCTCGTGCTGACATATGCTTTGCAGGTTGGAGTCACTTGTGTCACCTAGGGCATGTGCAGTGCAGTGATCTGCACAAGTTTCTTCTCTGCCAACATGGGACTTAAACTCAGTCTTAAGGTATCTCTTTGCCTCCTTGATTTTTTGTTCTGCATCCTTTACCCAGGTAGCCTCCGATCCATGGTCTCCAAGCGTCTTAAGCACGTCAGTGACATTGTCTATGGCCTCCGTCCCTTCTGCTGTAGTGTTGTCGAGTCCCTGCAAAGATTTTTGCATTGAGGCACCACACACCTCAATTATTCTGTAGAGTGAACGCTGTCCTGCTGGTTCAAAATTCTGCTCTTTGCAGTAAACTGAGTATTGCTCAATTATTCTTGACGGTATCATAGTCCTTATAACTGCCGGAATGATAATGCTTCCTCCCGTGTCAAGCTTAAGCACTTTTGTGCCAAATGCTACGTCCTGCAGCATCTCAGGTCTTGCGATGTAATCGATAAAATGATCAATTTGAACGGGTGAGATTCGGGAACGGAAAATTGGCTCTTGCGGAACAGGCAGACCTTCACCAACTTTGGTAGCATGCTGTCGAGCTTCATCTATTCGCCATTTTGAAAGTGTTGGTATCATGTTCATCAACTGGGACCTGCTAAAATCATTGGCAAAGAGAGAGAGTATCTGTCGTTTTGTTTGCCATGACTCGGCATGGTTATATGACTTGATCAGAACGTCGATTAGCCCAGATTTCGGATCAAAACTTCTACGTCTAGTAGCACCACCAGAATCCTTATTTACTAATCTTTCCTGTCGAAGAGTGGTCCATAATTCCTCTTCCTGTCCAGGGCTAAGGACCGAAAGTGCTGAGCAGATGCTTTCTTTGGCCTTTCGCAGATAGTACTTTTGCTGTGTTGTCGATATATCATCCCAAGACGTATTCAAAGTTGACAGAATGGGTGAAATTCTTCCTCCAGATAAACTGCTAATGGTATTGTTCAGTAGCTGCCTTCTCTGTTGCTGTTCCTCTACTTCGTTGGACCAGACACTGATTTCTTCTTCTGGGATACTTTGTTGGGATGATTGTGATGATGATGAAACCATCTCTTGTTCTGCATTAGATGTTACCAGGGCGCCCTGATCTTCATTCTACTGTGGCAGTTCAAATACATCTTTATCACCAGCCACTTGAGACTGTCAGTGCAATAAAAGGGATATTAACTACATTTCCATAATTTTTCTGTTAAGTTGTTACCGAGAATGGGGTCACAGAAAAGGGAGTTACAGGACTTTTTAACCAGTAAAAACCATTAAAAGTTGCAAACAGACTAAAACCTGAAACCGAATTTTCGGTTTGTTGTCATCCAAAAATTTTGCTACCATGGCAACGTGACGTAACGACTTCTTCTTCTCTATTACATTCAAACCTTTCACGGTACTAGAGCCTACCCCTCGTCCTTACATTAGAGAGATTTAGAATCCCGGCAAACAGCAAACGTCGATTTGCCTCATCTCTTTTATTGTAGTTTACTAGTCATGTTAATTACACAAATAGAAGTTTCAACTGAAAGCGATCAATACAAAACTGATGTACTCACTATACCTTAGTCGCTTTATTTTCTTATAATTTTTGTTTTAATATATTTTTTTTAATTGATAGATTTGTTACGTAATAATATGTTAGAGCAAGCATTTATGAAAGTAAAAATGTTCTCCCCTTTCTCCAAAATAAAAATCTTGGTGTCACATTACACCCTCCCCCTCACCCATAAAGGCCACTCTCTACAACGCCCCCTCAAAAACTGGCCGTTGTAGAGTGGTACTGGTCGGACTGCATCAAGCTTGCAGGTCGCTAAAAAACGTTAGGGTGGGGATAGCCAGTCCATCTATTTTCAAACTGAAAAAAGAGGCATTAACGTTTGCAGTGCTATCTATCGCTTTTTCGTTCTCAGTTCCTAGCTTCCCAGCAAATGAGATTTTTTTTTCCAAATTCCCTCTCCCCCCCTCCGAGTTTTCCCATCCACGTTTCTTTCACGGTTTTTCGGTTGTTCTTCTTTTGTTTTCTTTTACAGTCTTGGATAGGTTTTTAAATATTTAAACCTGTTATTAAGTGTTTCAGATGCCTAGCTTAAATTGCGTGACTAAAGAAAGCAAATACACAACCTGCTGATCGCCCCTTTCTCTTTCAGAGTTATCTACATGGCGTAGTCTGTAATGCTCTGTGCGACACTTTACACAAATAGCTAATACAAATGAAATAGATAAAGATTAAAAATGTGACTCTTACTTCAACCCCCAAAAATCGAATTTTATACATAGTTTCTGGGACAGCTAAAATTTAGACATTGAGTTTCAATCTTGTCATCAGTGAAAGTGGAAAAATACGAGCACTTAAAACATTTTAAGAAAATAGCGCGAGATGAATGATTACTTTTTATTTGAATTAATTTTCCTGTTCTAAAATAATCTGAAAAACGTTTACAGTTGTAGTTTATAGTTCCTGTTCATGTAGGCGTGTCACGCTGTAGCTTCTGTCACGACAACACTTGAAAAGACTTTTTGTGGCAAAACAGGCTTCCGTTTAGCCTGCGAAGCGCAGACGTATTTCCGGTCGTCGCTTCTCTCCCCCCGTTATTTTTTGGAGGGAGAAAAGCGACGACCGGAAATACGTCTGCGCTTCGCAGGCTAGCTTCTGTTCTGAATAAAAGTATCTTGCTTGCTCACCCCATCCTCGGAGACCCAGGGGCAGTCAGTCTGTGCTTTCGTCGCGCCTTTTCTTCCGACCCAACTGACTGCCCCTGGGTCTCCGAGGATAGATCACCCTTGTTTGATTTATGGCACATCCAAGGAAATTTACCCCCACCCCTCCCCCCGCCCCCCGCTTCGCTTCTGTTGATATAGTGGCGCTTTCAAATTTGCAACTTGATGCCAGCGCTTCCACTACAATAGTCATACTCAGTGCATACTCGATACGCCTAGAGCCTAGAGCCTTTCGTGATATTTATGCAAAACGTAATTTACCAGGTAAGATCGACAAAAGGATTTTAAAGTAATAAGAGACACTCACTAGACCCAACTGGGACAGCAGCATTGTGTAAAGCAAAGATTTCCTTGGACATTGCGTAATTGACACGGCGTGGGTCCTTGACTTGCTTGCGTTGACCTTTGTGCGATGGATAGCAACATGTCGAACTTTTACGACCTCTCCAGTCGACTGTCAGGTCTCTTCTGTGTTTAGGACAGATGGTCATGGCTGCTACTCTGTCTTGAGATAAATCGAAGTGTCCTGCTCTGTTCAAGATGAGCTCCTTCTCAGTGATTTCTATTCCTTCGGATCGCCATCCTCGCTTGCTACTCACACCAAGGCCCAGTAAGTGTGGTGTTATGTCTTCTTTACAAGCATCCAGCGGCAGAACATTTGTACTAGATCCGTAAGAACTACAAGGTGACTCTTGTGAAGCGAACGAACAGTTCATATTTTAAAGCAAGTGTGGTACAACAAAAGTACGCAAATTTCGGCGAGTCGTAAATGAAACCTGATAACCGAGCGGCGCGCGAGACATATAGATGTTGCTCGGTCTCAAATTACGCAGCTACAATTATACGTGTAAGTCGTTAATTAATTTCTTAATTTCATATTTTGGCAAACAAAAATTTTCTGCAAAAACCAAGTAAAAAATATTCTCCTGAAACTTTATATGACTGAAAATTCGTCGCACAGACAATTTAAAAATCGTCCATTCATTTCTTTATAATTAATTCTAATTAATACGTCTGCTTTATAATTTGTATCATACGTGTACGACTGCAACGGTTTCCGCTGTTCTAAAGTAAGGTTGTTTTCTTTTCATTGCAGTATCCTTTCCAAATTATTATTTTTTTATACGGGTGATGAAGTTTTCAGCCGTCTAAAGTTACAATTTAAAGGCCATTACCAAAAATCAAGGTTACATGCTTTATGCAAAATACCGCAAAATCACGTTCACGAAAATAGGCTTCCTGTAAAAAGAGTTTCTTGTACCAATCAATACTTTTTTTATTTTGACTTAGAAGGGTATAGACTATTGTAAAATGGAATTATTTATCAAATAAACAACCGCACTTTCAAGAAAATGGGCTTAGAAAATCGCCGAAATTCGCTGTCCTGTAACAGTCACGCAACATACCCGGGTTAAAACCCTTGGGCAAAATTACCGTTACACTAAAAATTTGATTTTATGCATCCAAAACGTTTATTTTAAGGTACTTTAGCTTCAGAAAAAAATCTGTGCACTAATTCCTTAAGGAAAAATTGTTTTAGACCCGAGAAATTTCCATTGTTTTTGGTGGTTTTTAGGGCTTCCCTTGGCCAAAAACTGGGGGGGGTGGTCAATCTCGGGGGGGAAAAGCCGGAAAATCTTGTTAATGTCACCAAAGTTAATCTTATCAGCTTGGTTTTAAATGCTGAAAAAATAAAGGAAATCGGCTGACCCCAATCTTTTGACACCGCCCGGTTTTCTCTGACAATGGCTCTTAAATGTGAAACCTAGACGAGTACTGTAAGCTCATCTTTAATTCTGTCCGACTCCGTCCGTAGTTTTGAAAATTTTTGATCACTGGGGCGATGTTTTGATTTGTTTGTTGATAAACACAAGCGCGCCCTCTCATTGGTTGAAAAGTGTCGCGTGACCAGTTGGCCCTGTCCTTAAATTTAGGGATATTCCGGACTGATGACGTTCGTGAGACCTTGGCATTCGTGGTCACGTAATCAACATCCAGAAAACCTCACACCGATCGAAAACTTGGCAAGAGCTGATAGGAGGGGACATGAGTCACGCCAGACCAAGGTCAATACGCTCCTATGTTTTCAACATCAAGATCGTATGTAAACGACAAATATGCAAATTTTATTCAAAAACAAAAGAAGGAAAAATACCAACAGACTATAGATTACAATTACAATTTCATTATTAATATTAATTTTTTTTTAGTGTTTAGATCAGTATAGGCCTTATAAAAACAATTTTTTTATAAAATGTTCTATCCTCTAGCTTCTTTTATTATGAATTTCTCCTGGCTATTATAAAGCTTTGAATATAAATACAATTTTTTAAATAAAATAAAACCAGAAATGTATTGTCTCTTACCCTCTATGCATTTTTCAGCTTGGCTTTCGAAAAACAAAGTGACGGTTTAAAATTTATATTTCAGCCAGCAATGACCATTGACGCTAATGCATAAAACGTCACCTTCAAAACATGTGTTATGGCTTCCCATGATTGTTTTGTTTTGGTCAATTTCTCAAGCACTAAAAATAACTTTTATTACAATAAATACTCTCGTCATTGTCAAGTTTGGTTGTTTCAATATCTGTTTTTGTTCTCGTGTTCGAAATGACCTTAACCCCTGCACGAAACAGTACAAACAGTACTTAACGCATGTTATTATCATCATTTAAAAAACCCGCGTCAGGACGAAAAGGAATAGCACATGTACAAGGAAAATATTCTACTTGTAATCCTGTTCAAATCACTCACCAATCAAAGGTATAGTACGGTGCATTTCATAATTTTCCCTGTAAAACTAAGTTGAAAGCAACCCCTAGTGTCAAATTTTTCCATCTGTGCTTAGAATAAAATTAGCCGGCCAGAGTCGAATATTAGGCAATTGCCGATAGTATTTGTAAATATCATAAATAAAAGAACAAAAAGCTGTATAAAAATTAGTAAATCTTCCCTTCTACGGTATAATAAAATTAGGAAACATGTGGTAGCGCGTAAGTTGTAGCTTCTTTTAATTATTGTTTGTCAGAACAAAAAGTCCTTTTCGTGAGAATGATATAAATAACAATTAGTTCACTCAAAGGAAATTCAATAAAACGTCACAGAAGTTTTTGAGGCTGTCATAGATATTTGTATCTTGCTGAAGAATGTATTCACATCAACGTATACCATTAAAAAAACAAATTCGGCGGGCCATCGTTTAAATGTCCGATTTTCTCAGTCTAGCCAATCAGAGGCAGTCCACAAACTCCCAACAATGCATTTCGTTTGCTCATCGCTGCCAAAAGACGTTGCACCTTTGTTGGCAAGGAGTGTGTTTGTTCTTTTATAAAGGCTTCTCATTTCATCGCATTTTATTTGAGCCAAGAAGAAGCACTGATAAGCAAGGTACTGCAAACATGTAAATTTAACTTAAAAACAACACTGATAAGTTTGTTTTTATTATGCATAGGACAGGTCAGAGAACGGTGTGAGATTCGTGCTATGCAAACGCATTTTAGTTTCAGGACACGCCTTTTTTGCGCAGCTCAAATATTTCAACATACGAGAAGTTTCTAACGTGGCTGAGTTATACCGTTCTTTGAAAAAAATCTCTCGGTAACTTGAAATCAGAAAGGATTGAAAAGCGGGATGGATTGTTTTTGATTAGTTGCGCTACGCCTCTCCCGCGGGAACAAAACAGATTCGTTCAGCACTCGCTCGTCTTATCATACCTTCTGCAGGGTAGCTTACTTTGTGGTGCTTTTTACTACATTAGAAGAATGAATACCTTCACTTGTAAAAAGCTTGATGACATGAGTAATTAAGTTATTTGTTTTACAACGCCTACGCAATTAGTGAGCCAAGGGGGATGGAAAAGGCCTCTGGGCACTCCGCCTATATTGGCTGCTGTTTGACCCTCACTTGACTCTTCACTGTTGTGTTTATTCTGCTTTTGTTTTTCACGTGCTGTGAAATTTAAGAAAAAAAAAAAGAAGGAAAGAAACTAGTTTTGTCTAATTTTGTAACCGTCATGAACCACGTTTTTCAGCAACATATTAACTAAAGAGTTGTCGCCCAGCAAAACAAAGTTACGTTGTAATAATCAGCATCCAGACGTACTGAGTATAACTAAGATCAATGTTCAAACAGTTAAAACCGTGGAAACAAATATTATGGCTAATTCGGAAAGGTTTGTTTTCAAAAATCTTTGATTATACAAAAAATATTTTGTTCGTTTCTTGTTTAACAACTATATACTAGCAAGTCTTTATTGATCTCTCATTCCGCCAAAGGTTTCTTTCCTCGGGTCAGTAAAAAAGAAAAAAGAAACAATTATCATGGCTAATTCGGAAAGGTTTGTTTTCAAAAATCTTTGATCATACAAAAAGTATTTTGTTCGTTTCTTGTTTAACAACTATAGACTAGCAGGTCTTTACTGATCTCTCATTCCGCCAACGGTTTCTTTCCTCGGGTCAGTACAAAAGAAAAAAGAAAGAAAAATTTGTTTGCCAGTATCAGATATCCAGTGGACTATAACGTATGTGCAGCTATCGGGTCGCTGAACACCTAACTAGAACTTTCCAGACAAAAAACTTTAATATAATTGAGCATAATCATATCCAGATAACTATGATTGATATCTAATAACAAATTAACACCGGTAACTGCAAAGGAAAAGATAATGATAGCAATGTTTGAGTAAAAAAGGAAAGATATTAAACGAAAACAAACAAACAAACAAACAAACAACTCAGAAATGGAGCTTTGTATCGCATGAAACATTGCTGTCACGATCCTAATCGATACCTGTAGAAAAAAAATCGCTACAGATAAACAAAAAAAAGAATATGAATTTATTGTGGAATAGTTAATTATTATAGAACAAATATATAATTATAAGTTGCATGTCAACGTTTTATTGGTTTGAATGAAAGGGAAAATATATATGTTATTTAGAACGTTTAGCAGCTAGTCCAAGAGGGTAAAATATTATTAGATTCTTGGACGCCAAATTTGATATAAAACCCTGCAGGCCATGATCTTGGAGAAACAGGATGAAAGTCAGAACAATTAATCTTACCTGTTTTACCTGTTTAAGCTACGGACCATTAGAAAAGTGAAAGGAGAAGGGAGGGTGGGGAGGTTCGAGAGGGTTTAGAAAGTTCAGTTTTCCTCACGAATTGTTTTGCCACCCGGCTCTTCCACACGCATAAATATTTTTGAGACGATCAACTCCATCGCACTCATCGATTCCTAGATTTCTAGCCTTCCCACATTGTTAAAATTCACGAATTGTATACATACTGTACATACTGTACTGTGGAAGTAGTTTTTACATGCAGATACATGTGATCCAAAATAATAAGACACAGGGATACCAGCAATGTTCTCGATAAGCAGCGACTGGCTATGAAAAAAAGTCAGTGGTACGTGTTTAACAAAAAACTGGGGTCGTTAAACTGAAATTAATATTCTCGCAAAAGCAATTTCCAACATTCTTGGCATGAAATAGAACAGCTTACATTAAGCTAATATTTTTTTTTACTGAAGAGTTAAAAAGACGTGCATTTTTGTGCAATGCTGTTCTTTCTTTAAAATGAAAGTTACTTGTCAAACTATTTGCTCCTTTCTGAAACCAAAGCTGCAATTGTAGTACGTGTTTTGTAATAATAATTATAAAAATAATAAAGATAATTACTTTTAATTAAATCATCATCATTATTTTCTTTACTGAATCATTATTAATTATTATATTCTATCATTATTATTGTTCTCTTTGTAGGGTCTAAGCGCAAGATGTCAGGGTCAGGATCAGGATCGGGAGAATTGTCAGGGATGGGGAATGACACTGAACTGGATGAGCCATACTGGGGAGAAGACGAGTCCACCTATGAGCCCGATAAAACCGCAAAGATGATCATGATTGGCCTCTACGTCATTATCTTCTTCTTCTCCTTGGTTGGCAACTCCCTCATCATTCATCTTGTCCGCACCCGTAAGAGTATTCGCAAGAATCAGTTCTACTGGCTCATTGTCAACACAGCTGTGGCTGATCTCGTTGATGTGATCGCAGCTTCCGCCCTTTCCATTTGGCTCTTCGGATTTGTAGATCAATCGGATCTAGGAGTATTTGGAACAGTGTTATGCAAAGGCTTACCATATTTGTTGGTTGTCTCCATTTGCGCTGCCATCTGGACGCTCACAGTCATTGCCTTTGACCGATACCTGGTTATTGTATGTCTCCGAAGACGCGCCCTGTCATCCCGGTCAGTGTTGCGTTCCATTATTACAGTTTGGCTGTGTGCTGCATTAGTATCCGGTGTGTACCTGTACAAATACAAGACAGAAAAGAGTGAAGATGGAACTATACAATACTGTTATGAACAGTGGCATGAAAATGAGGAGATGAACAACACTTTTTTCAAAGCAGAAGTGATTTTGAAAGTTGTCCTTACCTATGCAGTTCCACTCGTCGCCATGGCAATCTTGTATTTCCTGATTGCCAGGTTCCTGTGGAAGCGCAAGCCGCCAGTCAGTGTCAATCAACAAGCTTACAATAATCAGATCAGGAAACGTCAGACCGTCATCAAGATGTTGATTACAGTTGTCAGCGTTTTTGCAGTCTGTTGGTTTCCTGTGCACGTCAGTCACATAATGCCTGAGTTTTACCGAGAAGAATACTTCCATATTCCAGTGGTTCTCAGATGGCTGTTCTTCTGGCTTGCGCATGCCAATGCTGCAATTCATCCCTGGCTGTTCATTGCCTTCAGTGAGCATCTCAGAGAAGGAACGAAGGAGATATATCGAAATATGTGGAAACGAAACAAACTTAGGCTGCGTAGTCGTAGTGGGTCTACTCCAAGTTTGGCTACTACCGAAGATCCTCTGTCCAGGTCTCCCACGCCAAAGAGCAATGGATACACGGCGGAACAAATTGCTTGAAAACGAAGCGTGTTTGACGCGATATTGTAGATGTAAAGGGTCATTGAAGGCGAGTCTATTCAATGTAGATTCGTCATTGGTACAAGCATTGCTACTAGTCAGTGGCTTAGGACTCATAAAGAGTGACTGCTTTAGCATACCGCCATGCCAAAAGATTGTTGACTGCAAGTCCCTAGTTATAAGTTACTTGCTTAGCTACATCACGATTTAGGGCGTAGAATAGATTCTGTTGAGACTTCAAAGATGTATTTCTCTACCTGTAGACAAAGGTCAAATAAACCAAGCCGCGGCAATATGTTATCCTCACATATTAGCATCAAGTCTGAAGAATATATGCCAATATATGCCAATTCACAATTTTTAAAAATAATGTGAAATTTGTGAAGCCGATTGATCGCGCTAGACGCAGAACGAGAATCTTGTTCACAAATCTCATCAAACGTGACAGCGTGATCACACTAGAAGTCAACAAAGAGTCATAAAACGTGATACATGGACTACGGTTCATTTTAACTACACTGATATTTTCTGCTTTATTGCATTTGTAATTATCTCTAGCCAGATGTAAGATTCTGCTATTGTAATAAACTGCCTTGTAACTGTAGCAAATTTACTTGAGAACAGAGTATTTTGGGGACGCCTTTAATTCATTTGATATATAGGGGATAAAGACATTCGCACAAGTTGTTTGTAGGAGTACCCTTCTGCCTTCGCAATTATGACATTAAAATGCAGTTATACTAAGGAATTTTGTTATATTCATTAAACTTAAGATCGTTTCATTGAATTCTTAGAAAAGCCTCTTGATTTAACCCTTCATAGGTTGCGTTCTTTTAGCCAAACTTTTTTCGGATTTAAACAACCCAGATTGTTTGAATTTTCGTGCTTGCCGGAACTAAAATCTGAAATAAGATATAAAATCCATACAGTACGTAGCTGCCTAATGCTCTGATCTTCTTCTCAATTTAAACACACCGTTTTTTATTTCTTTCCGCTAAATTAAGCGTCTTGTGAACAAATGGAAGCTCTTTCACTATTGGTGGTTTATACTGGGACTCGTCAACTTGAAATTGATCTGGAATTTGATTCAAACCTATTCAGAAGACAATTACGAATTCTCAAGAGCTGAGAAGCGCACCTTAGAGACACACACATTGGAAATCTCACGGTGCATTTTAGCTTATTTTAGTACGGATTTAGAGTTACAGTGGAACTCGAGTTTAATATACTACAATCCTTAAGCGGCATAGAACAACGACGGAATATCTATAACTTTTGCCTGAACTAACCTTGACCCGCCATGTTTATTGATGAACGAGCATGCACGTTGTTGAGCTCGAAAAGCAGTCTTGTTAAATATCTCAATCTGATTTCAGATTTTTGTTCCACCGATCTGAACGATCCAAGTGGGAAGGCGGATAGCTCAGATAATAATCTAAGATTGGTTTAGTCCTTTATGGAACGAAAAATCAAATTTCGAATCGTAAAATCCCGATTTAGATTGGTCAAAAAGGAACGCAACCTTAATTTGTTCATGTTAAATCAGTCTGTCCTCACTACAACATGGTCTATGGCTGCGTGAAAATGGACGCAACAACCCCCAACATTGTTTGCGCCAACAATGTTGGGAGTTGTTGGTGTGCAAACGGATGCAACAACGCCCAATAATGTTGGGACATACAGTGCATCGTGGGAAGGATACAACCCATAAGTCTTTGTAAACCATGCATAATGCTCGTGCGCGGCCCGAACAATCTTGGAAGAGTTGTGCAAACGGATCCAACATTGTTGCGCTACCCTTCGGCGATCACGGAACAAAAGAAATGGTAGCTTTCAACCGAAACTCGGCTTCTTACATTTGTCCAAGATCTATACAAGAACCTCCGCGACAATGAGCAAACAGATGTTATAGTTATGGACTTTGCGAAGGCCTTTGATAAGGTAGGTACCCCGTAAGAAGTCATGATTACCCTCACCCGTGATTACATCCTACACAACCAGATCCTTAAGGAAAAAGATGCAGTTAAATATCTTGGCGTCACTGTACACCATAAGCTGTCTTGGAACGAAGATATATGCTCTCTAGCTAAGAAAGATAATTCATCCTTTTGTTTCTTCAGACGAAACCTACAAATTCACCAGAAACACATCAAAACTAATGCATACAAGACTCTTGTTCGACCACAAATCGAGTATGCGTCTACTATATGGGATCCTTTCACCCAAGAGAACCAAAATAAAATTGAAATGGTACAGAGAAGAGCTGTCCGCTTTGCTTACAACAACTACAGACGCGAAGTAAGTGTCACTACCATGCTTGATGAGCTTGGCTAGCGCAGTCTCAAGAAGCGAAGAGCCGACCAAAGATTAATTATGTTATACAAAATTGTAAATAACCTAGTTGAAGTTGATCTTTCTAAAGAACTTATACCACTTACGAGACACTCTAGAAATAGTCACGCCAAATACTTTAGAATTCCCTACGAAAAGAAACCCTATATTCAATACAGCTTTTTACCTAGAACTATAAAGCAGTGGAACAGTTTGCCCGCCACACTAGCCACAACCCCAAGTCTTAATATTTTTAAGAGTGGGGTCTGTGAGCTGAAACATTAAGAACCCTTACGAACCTGACCGAATCCGAGCATATAAACCTTGCAGAGAGGGAATGCTTGTAATATGGTAAATGTAAATGTTGAGAGTTGTTGCCCTAGAGTCCACGTATTATGGCAGAGATAATGTACATGGAATTAATCATTTTCTGTATTTACCCCAGCCTAAAATTTGAATGTCGACCGGAGAAAAGCAAACATGAGGCGAGCTAACTTAACTTTTGCGATTCATCCAACTCAATTTCATCTTGTTATTGTGTCATAATGAGTTGCGTCCGTTTGCACGAGGCTTATGTCACATTCTGCACAGTGGTAGCTTTCGGTTGACAGAAAGTTCTACCTGATAATAAGATCCCTTTGGTGCCATCGATGGAGTCAGAGGTGTTTCACCGGACACCCTTTGCTGGCGTTTGACGAGATGTTCTTTAGGTGCCCGTTATTTTGGAGAAGTAATCATGGTACTGGGTCTCTTCCCTGGTGTGATTCTCCTTTACCTTGTCCCAGTACTGTAATGGTTCTCGCTATAGCCAATCACTTCCGCTGTTTATTTTTCCGGTGCTATTGCTATCGTGATGCTTTTCGAGTACATGTTTTTCATTCGGCTATATTGTCGCTCTCAATAAAGTAGTGTTAACCTCAGTAGTGATCAACCTCAAGGCTACAGCTTGCTTAATACTACACAGAAGTATTACAAGTACCAAAAGCATTATGCTCCTAGCTTTTCATGGAAATCAGGAGTCTCCCGATGACCGCTTGCACTATCCGTATCAACCCTAGCGTCTTCTTACGTTATTTTTATACTTAGAGGTACAGCTGGAGTGTCCTTTTCAGGGAGCAAGCCTGGATATGACGCCGCGAAAATCGGTTGTTCTTCATTTCGCAGGATTCTGTTCTGACCTCTGCGGAGGAGTCCAAAGGAAATGGCTCGTTTGGCTGTAAGAGGTTGTGGAAGAGTGTCGTGCTGGTAAATCAACCACCTTAGGGGTGTCTCTCCTGATTTTCCGTAAGAATTTGCTCCTGTCAAGACCTAGCTTCCAGCGTGTTTGACTCATGGCTTGGAGTCGAGTTTGTAAGCACCAGGAACTGTTCATATACAGTTTTTTCATTTAGTTGACTGCGGGTAATCCCTTTTTAGTTAGACGAGTCAGAGCTTATTAGCAAGAATGAAGAGAGAACAAACTGAGGGTTAACTGGGTCCTCATTCATTAGCTTGCAACATTGTTCACCAGAGCAACAAACTTGAAGCATTCCTAGCAGTTTACATCAGGGAGCCAGACCACCTCAGGTTACTTGAAGCTCCGCCTGACACCTATGTTTTGGAGGAGTTACAGGCAATAGTGCTAGGCAACGGATACGGATTACTGACACATCACCTAACCTCAATCAAACACGATCGAGGAAAGATTACCCACGAGTTGCAGAGATTGGCTACTCTTTCAAGTAACGGTATCCATTACTTTCTTTATGGAATGATTGGGGAGAGGCGCTCAGTGGAGTTTCCTTTGTCCAGTATTTTTTAAGCAAAGCATGACCAATACATCTGACAATGTAACGTCTTACAATTAAAGCTCTTCAATTCGCTAGTAAGCTAGGTCAACGCACAGCAAATTTGGTCAAGGAATCATTTTAACCAATTTCGGCGAGTATAGAGCAGCGTTAGGTGCAACTTTTCCCGCTGTGAATAAATAAAGCCTGAAAAACTCGGCCTTTTACGGCTCCTTGAATTCTGTGGTAGCAATAACTAGTACAGCGCTCTGATAAGCTATTTGGTGAGCTATTAACCGGATAGGAAGGTGGTCATTTAGCAATGATAATATAAATAATATATGACAAGAAATTCCAGGATTACCCAACGACGTATTCATCCTAGATACAATGAAAAAACTTTTTAGGCTATCCAGAGTACTTTTAGATCTCTAGAAATGAATTTTAAGCGGCGCTATAAAATTTGTATCTGTTCGGGGAACTTGAGTCATTTTACGAATTTTAAAGCCTCAGTATTATTTTCCCGAAAACTTTAGATTCAATTTTAAGTTTTACGAAAGAGATCACTGAGACTTTTGCTGATTCCTCTCTCCATCTCCTTTTCGAATCCGAAAATTTTAGGTTTCCTTTTTCCTAACCTTGGGACTGAAATGCGAAAAATTGAACGTTAGGGGAATTTATTTAGATATGCTTTAAAAATTGTACGTGAATGGAAGGATCATCTAGAATTTTTTTGCCTACGTCAAGCTATAGAAAATTCTAGAGAATGTTTGCTTCTCCGAACATTTATACGGCTCTTCTAAATAAGGTATTTTCAAGGGCTCAAATTGGCCATTCGATATGGTGGCCAAGTATTTGTTAAGTGCGTCGGTTGGGGGTCGACCAGCACTAACTACACTACACAATACCCTGAAACTACCACCTAAGCCCATTACAGTCGGATCATCCATCTTGATCTAGTATAAATCAGGCAATTAAGCACAATCTAAAGACAGAGTAATGATTATAAGATAAAAATAAAAGAAAGGTGGAAAGGTGCCGGACAATTTTAAGCGCAATGTTCTCTTGATTGTCTTCAGCAATCCCTGACACAAGTTGAACTTATGATCACTGACCCAAACACCCCGTGGACGCTTTATTCATTGCGCCGCGGAGATAACCAGACAGAGTTGAAAGATACCAAAGAAGAAAAATCCAT